GTTGCGCTGCATGGTTTCTCACGAAAGTGGTCTGCGCAAGCTGCACTGTTCCAGGCTGCTTTCGGGCAAGTTGCTCTCTGCACGCTGCTGCGCGCAAGTGCTCTGTGCAGGTTGCTCTGCGCAAGTGCTCTGAGCAAGTTGCTCTGCGCAAGTGCTCTGCGCCAGTTGCTCCGTGCGAGCGCTTTGCGCATGTGCTCTGCGCAAGTTGGTCTGTGCAAGGTGCTCTGCGCAAGTGCTTTGTGCAAGCGCTCTGTGCAATTCGCTGAGCGCAAGTTGCCCTGCGCAAGTGACTCTGCGCAAGTTGCTCTGCGCAAGTGCTGCCGGAGCTGCGGGGGTGTGCTCCGCGTACTACGTTGGTACTTAAAAGTTGCGATTGTCCAGCCGGAGCCGCGGGAATGTGCTCCGCGTACTACGTCTGTACTTAAAAATTGCGATTTTCCAACCGGAGCTGCAGGAGCACGCTCCGCACACTACGTCTGTACTTAAAAGTTACGATTTTCCAGCCGGAGCTGCAGGAGCACGCTCCGCGTACTACGTTTGTACTTAAAAGCTGCGATTTTCAGGCCGGAGCTGCCGCGGACCAGGGGGGAATCGAACCCGCGACCGCGGGATTGCGAAAGCAAGCGCGCAAACCACGAGACAACTTCAAGGCAGATCAGGTCGAAGGCCAGATCAGACTGGACATCGAGCCTGCCGAGAGACCCGTCGAGGCAGGGCTTCTGCAAGTCAACTTGACCTTCGTCTGTGGATGCAACCGGCCAGCAGGATGCAACCGGCCAGCAGGTTGCATTTGTGACGAGTGTCACACTCAACTGCATTCGGTTTGGACCAGATGTGTTTCAAAATGTTTCGTAATTCCAGTTTTTGAGGTCTTCCATTGCAAGGGATGGAAGTGACATGTGCCGCACTCAGCTGCACCAGATGTGTTTCCACATGTTTCGTTATTCCAGTTTCTTCAGGTCTTCGATTGCAAAGGGTTTATGTCACATGTGTCACACTCAGCTGCATTCGGTTTGAACCAAATGTGTTTCAAAATGTATTGGAGGTGCAGAGAAAGATCCTCAAGGCAGATCAGGTCGAAGGCCAGATCAGATTGGACATCGAGCCTCAGAGTAAACCCGTCGAGGCCGGGCTTCTGGAAGTCAACTTGACCTTCGTCTCTGGATGCGAACGGCCAACAGGTTGCATTTGTGGAAAAGAGTTAGAGAGCCTTGCGTCATGCGAATGCGAATCAGGGGCAGGCCTATTGAGAGTGACATGGCGCATGTAAAATCTTTTTGTTCGTTCGTGGCTAGGATTTTTGTGGCTCAAAGCATGGAGGAAGCTTTTGCAACCAAGTATGTGCTCGCGCTGTCCGACAGCACCGGCAACGGATATGCTGAGTACGGCTCCAACGTGGTGAAGATGTCGTCCAGCGGAACAAAGCATGTGCTGATTCTCGGCCTTGGCGCGAGTTTGATTCATGCCTCCAAAGGCAACAGGCATATGTCTATCTTGAAGAAGCTTCTCTGCACCTGGGCTGGCATCGCCGACTCGTACTACGAGATCAAATGCCGGGATCAGCTCTTGCGCAAGCGCGTTGGGCTGAGCGTGGTCCCTGCGCGTGACGATGCGCCTGGCGAGTGAAAGAGTCCAGCTCCACCATCAGGTCCATGGAGAAAGCCTGGTTTGAGAAGGACGGCGTGCCTTTGTTCACCCCGCTCGGCATCGGCAGTGGCTTGCACTTCTGGGGATCCATGGAGCGCAAAAAGGAGATTTTCAACGACCTGATGGAGCGAGTGGCCCGAGACTGCGAGCCCGCGTCCGCGGAGCTTTACATCCTCGTGTGCGCGGGGTGGAACTTGGTGCCAGGCCCGTGTGAGGATGCTGGCGCGGCTGAGAGGAAGATGGCCAGGCTGCACGCGGAGCAGCAGCTATTGACGTTGCTGCAGACAGAGGCAGTGACATTTCGGGATGTGTTGCAGATGTGTTATCTGTGGTCGGATATGCCGCTGACTGCCAACCTATGGTCGCAGTTCGCGTGCTGCTCCTCTCCGCTTTGGTGGCTTGCGCGTGATCCAAGATTGCGGCTGCTCGGCGGAGATCTTCTGCCCTGGATTCTACCGGGAGTTCGCAGGCGAGGAATGGCAGTTCCTGCAGTGGAGGCTTCCCATCTCCAGCCTCAGAGCAGCACGCAAGGGTGCGATCGCTGCGCTGTGGCGACACATGGAGTTGTGCCGCAGCGGGGGAGTTTACGTGTCTGGCAGCCAGAGCCTTGGAGTAGAGCTGGGTCTTTGGTTCCGGGACAAGCAGCACGAGCTCGGGATTCAGATGCAACGGGCCTGCTGCAATAGGAGAGAAATTTGAGGACTGGGGTGCTGCCGCAGGCGGCGTGTGTAATCCGCCCTTCCTGGTGGCCGCGCTCCCTCGTCAACGGTCGCTGCTGGCATCTCGGACGACCGAGGGATGGCCGTGCTTCTGGAAGCATGCGCGGCAACCAGCATGCTGCGTGGATGACCTGCCAGAGATGTGCCCTGAGGACGAGCTATGTGACGAAGGCCGCGGGGCACGGACAGCGTCGAGCTCTAGGCATCGCTGCCGAGATTGCGCTCGCGGAGTTGCAGGATGTAGTGAGCCCAGAGGACTGCACGGAGAAGATTGTGACGGGCAAGATTATGGAAGTGAAGGGGCGACAGCTTCAGGCAAGCGGAGGAGGGCTGGACTACTGCGTGAGACCGGGCACCAGCGTCCCGGCCGCAAGGAAGTCCGCCTGGGGAATCCTGTGGCGGCCGCCAGTGGAGAGGCCGACGGCGTGCCGCCGTTGGTGAAGACGGAGGACTTATGCCGAGAGACAGGCGGCGCTGATCAAGAGTGGGAAGAGCTGGACAGGCTGGAGGTTGAGCTCATGGAGCGGAGAAGCGCGGCTGGCAGCTGCCGGCATCTGAGCCCTCTGTGGCCTAGTATTCTTGGGCGTGGCTAGTTGGCAATCCAGGCCGAAGGCGGCAGCTTGTCCTGAAGTGGAGTGCGGTCGCCTGAGACTGACCATGGCTAACGCCCAGTGAATGTGCTAATGCAAGTGAAGTGAAGCGACCTGCGCAGTCAAAACTTGTAACTCACTGCTTCTCATGATTTGTGGGATTTGCGGTCGTTTCAAGTTGAGTTGTGAGCTGAGCTTGCAGCATGTATTTGCGTTCCGGCTCAGCTGCATTCGGTTTGTGTCAGATGTGTTTCGCAATGTTTCTCCCGTGCCCCGGTGCCAAATGAAACGTTGTCAGCAGTAGTGGTGAGACGAGGCCGAATCGGCTGCGACCTCATGGAACTTCTCCGGGAGTTGGACAGCAGTTTGCGAAGTGATGGGGACGTGCGAATCCGGAAGCTGCCTTTTGCTTCTTGTCGATGCGCGCTGCTCCGGCAAGTGTGGAGAGTGGCTGCGTGGGGGGGGCGAGCACTATGAGCCCGCAGACCGGTGGCATCTTGTGAAGACTAAGAGCCAAGTCGAAGGCCGGGCGTTGGCGGAAGCTTCTCGGCGATGCGTGCTACTCTGGCAGCTGTGGAGACTGGCCGCGTGTGGGGGCCAGCACTATGAGCCTCCTGCGTACTGCAGACCGCTGGCATCTTGTGAAGACTGGGAGCCAAGTCGAAGGCTGGGCGCCCGCAGGAATCAGTTCTTCGTCTCGTTAATCCCGCCCACCCAGGAAGGAACGGTCGCGAGTACGACCTCTTCCAGGCAGTTGGCCGACTGCCGGCGAAAGAACGGGGAGGCCGGTCTACCCAGGAGGGAACTCAGCCAAGACTACGACAACACCTTCAATGCAGTAGCCGACTGCAGATTGTGGGGAGGCGTGCGCAAGCGTCAAGGTCTCGTGCATGGTCTCGTGACAAATGTCACACCTGGCCAGTGGCACCCTGCAACACACCGCACCAACATCACGAAGAGTTGAAGCTGTAAATGTGAGCGCCTCGGCGTCAGCATCATGCAGAGAGATGGTGTTGTGCAATTGATGAAGCTTTGTGTTGGCAGGTGGGTTGACATAAATCCCCTGCATCATTCTAGGATTACAATTTATCTTGCCCCCAGGGGTTTTGCAGCGGCGCTGGGCTGTTCGCCCAGAGGGCAATAGCCAGCAGGTCGCGGGCTGCGGCGGCGAGCTTGTGTTAGCGAGGTGTGAGTTGCATGCTTGGCGTTTTATTGGTGGTGCGAGCTGAAGTGATGCGTGACCATTCTCCAGATGCTAAAAAAGCCAGAGGTAGGATGTTGGGCTTTTCTATGAAGACAGGCCCGCCGCCTCTGTGAGAAATGTCGAAGACCGTTTTGGCTGTGGCCATCGCAAGTGCCGGTGCAAGTGAAGCGGCAGTCGAAGTCGAATCGCAGCTTTCGTGGAGTTGAGTGTCGGGCTTTTTGATTGCATGCGTGTACTGTGCCTGGCCCGCTCAGGTTCGAGCCCTGCTAGCCTGGCTGACTCGGCGTAGTTTTTGTTGCCGGCCCGGCCATGAGGCCTGAGTGTGCGCCCATCTTATCCTTGGCTGACAGCACAGCGGTGGGGTTCGGTGACAAGTACGGCGTGCAGGTTGTGGATGCTTCGAGCAGGCGTCACTGTGTCGTCTGGTGCTGCGGTGGGTCTCTGGTGACCGGCTCCTGTTGTGCTGGCGAGACGCTTCCGAGCGTGGCCAAGCAGCTTGTGTGCGGCTGGAGGCAGATTGCCGCGCGCCTCGGATTCCCGGATGTGAGCTCAGAGGCTGGCGGTGAGCCTTGTGGCGGCACGCGGATCTATGGCGACCTGCATAAACATCGCAGGAGTTGGCGCGTGCGAGAGACGAGCAAGACCATTGTAGACATGCAGGACAGCTGGGCGCAGGACAGCGAGCCGTTCTATCGGCGTGGCCTGCACTTCTGTGGCGACAAGGATCGACAGCGCCGAGTCTATTGCCACGTGATCGAGGAGGCGGCGAAGTTGGCTGTGTGCCCGGGCACGACGCGCGCAGAGGACGACGTGGTGGACTGCGACCTGGCGGTCGTCATCTGCTGTGGGTGGAACAACGTTCCGAAGACCGGAGACAAGTGCACGGCTATGCATCGGAGAAGTTTGGTGAACTTGTGCTCGGAGCTGCAGCTTTTGCGTCACTGGGAGCAGGACGCCGTGGACATGAGGACGTTGTTGCAGATCGCCAGCGGCTGGGCGAATGCCTGCAGCGAAACAAGCCTGTGGGCACGGAGGCACGATGAGAAAAAGATTCCCTTGTGGTGGCTGCCGCGACGGCTGGTGCAGACGTACTGTCGGGAGGATCATCGGGTGCGCAGGCACGCCGGCTACTTCGCGAGAGAGTTCGATCGAACCTTTGTCGACGATGGCCAGCAGTATGCAGAGTTTTGCAACTTTGCCTCTACGCAATCTGTGAATCTTTTTCGAGAATACGTCAGGCCGTGCCACCGCGCCGATGTCTGGCGCTACCTGCATATGTACCGCCGCGGTGGAATACCTGGACTTCAAGTGCGGATTGCTTCAGCCGCTCTGGAGGTGGCTTCTCGAGCTACAAAACGCTTGCAGCATGAGCTGGGCCGCCAGGGCGAAGCCCGGGCAGGCGCTCAGTGTCCATTCATGGTGACGTCCTTGGGCACATTCAAGCACGAATACGTGTTTCAGGGCTTGATGATCATTTGCTCCCCGCGGCACCCGCTGTGGCTCGGCTGCTGGGAGAAAGCAAGGCAAAAGGCCAGGGGTACCTTACTTTCTGCAGGCAGTTTTACCAGACACTGAAGAAGGGTGCCCAGCTGAACAAGTTAGAGCCTGGCTGGGTCCCGTATGGCTGGGTGTACCTTCTGAAGGAGGACAAGCTGGTCACCAACAAAGCCCTCCAAGTGATGCAGTTGACCAAGCCAATTCCAGACACGGACGGCCCTTTCGTTTCGCTGCCATTTGACGGCCACATAATCCACAGCGGCTGGCTACGCGATGTTGGGGTTGGAACCAAGGTTGGAAGGAGGATCGCACGCGGGCCGACACGGCTCATCAGGCAGCCAAAGGTCACCGCACGCAGGCCAGCGCCGCGCAGGTGGTCGCTTGCAGACCTCTAGACGGAGACCTGGCGGTTGAGATGCAGGTGTTGCGCCTTAGTGAGGCCGGCCGGGTTTGTAATCTTGTGTGTTGCAAATAGCGTTTCGAGCGGGGGTGACTATTTTTCATTGCTCGTGAGGAGCGCCTGGCTCGCGTGGACCAGCGATCTGCAGGTGCAGTGCCTGGTGGGCCAGGGGCTGGTCAAGCCGCAGGCCTACGATGCTCTGACATGCGTATGGTGCCGCAAGCAAGAGAAGCTCTTCAGGCTTCAGTCGCTGGCGGCAGTGTTTCAGCACTTCGAGAGCCAGAGTCACGTCAGGTCACAGGACGACGGCGGAGTCACTCACACGCATCCCGCCCCGCAAGAGCAGCAGCCGCAGGTGGAGCAGGAGCAGGAGCCGACAGACGGGGAGCCAGTCAACGACAGCTCCGGTCTGGAGTGGTCGAGCGACAAGCATCTCCCCACCAGAGATGAGCTCATAGAACTCTCCAAGGAGCAACAGGAAGCAATTTTGGGTGGATCGGGCGATTTGTCCTTCAATATGTCTCCGTGGATTCGAGCTCTCGTCAGCATTGTGTACGACTTCAACGAGGGGCTGCCGCAGTACTGTGCAGAGCAAGTCCTCGTTCTTTCGAATTGCGTGCCTGCAGAGTTTCAGCACCCTTCAGCACCGAACCACCAAGCAAGGCACGTCATGGCGTGATTTTATTTGCAGCCGCCAGAAAACCACTCCCGTCACCAAGAATCCGGTCCTCTTGAAGTTTCGTGGAAAGTGTGTGGAGGAGGAGGTGCTGTCAAGCCAGTCCAAGCTGTTGGGGATGTGCTACTCGTTGCTGGGAGCGGCGCTGGGCGCATGGGCTGTTGCGGCGGGCCACGACGACAGCAAGTTCTGGGAAGCGTCGGACGTTTTCCTCATGATCGCCAATTGCCAGGCTATCAAGCGAGAGCAATCTCTACGCAAGGATGCGCCGTTTCCGGACAGCAAGTTTCGGATCTTGCGCAAGATGGTTGACGGGAAAGAGGTGTTGGCCTTCCGCGTGGTTCCCACTGCTGCCCGGCAGTTCGACAACCCGACCGTTAGCCAGTACTATAACGGCAATAGTGTGAAGTTGCATCGAGCGGTGGTGCAGTCGCAGAGCAGTCACAACCCGCAGCAGCAGCCAGCCAAGAGACAAAGACAGGGTTTTCCCGGTCTTGTCTGGCGCTCCGGCTGGCATTATGGCTGGCACAGAGGAGATCACTCCGAGTGGGAAGCTGGGTGGCAAGACAGACAGCACTCCGGGTGGGAGAGCGGGTGGCAGAATCGCTGAGAGCCCGACGTCAGGTCCAAGTGTCTAGGTTGTCTAGCTGGCTTCCAAGGCGGTCTGCGCGTAGTTGATGCTTCCATGGCTGAAAATTGGCCGTCCGTGACCCCAGAATTAGGGTCACATTGCGTACCCTGCTTGTAGGAGCATGGAGTGTTCACCAATAGTATTCTGCGGTTCGCAGCGGCAAAGAAGCTTGGCACAGGTTTTGCGCGCACTTCACAGCAGCCTTTCCACAGCCAGGCGTTGCGCGCAAGACATTTGTTGCGTGGCAGCAGTGTTTGTGCAATTTTGGGGTCAAGAAGTTTCGGACGGATTTCGGCGGGAGAGCAGTCTCTGCACGCTAGCTCTGTAGCCTGTAGTCCCATGTGCAGCAGACCGGCGCATCGAGCTCAGCAGCTCCGGGAAGTGTGCTCAAATTTGAAAAGGCAGCTGAGGGAAACCAGCAGCTCGACGCGGCGCGTCGCCGGATCACTCCGCATCTTCGAAGGTGCATTCTGGCTTCGTTTGCCATGGGAGGCGTGGCGGCCGCGGAAAAGTTTGCTGGCGCCAAGTTGGGCGACGCTGAGCTAGCTGGACAGTGCGTCGCGGCGGCAAGTCTGGCTGACATTGGACGGGCTGGAAGCTCTGATGCACGAGACTGGAGGCTGGCCCGGAAGCAGGGCGCCAAAGCGGCGGTGGCGAAAGCCGTAGCCGCGCGCAACGCTGCTGGCTACGCTCCGGCTTCGCTAGAGGTGTTTGAGATGTATCAGCGAATGCTTCCAGAAGACGAGCGGTTGCGAGGCAGAACCACTCGCGGCAGAAGACTCTGGACGCAGCGGTTTTGCAAGCAGTGGAAGTTCGTGCGTCGCAGAATCGGTCTGCGTCAGGTGGAGCTGACTTTGGCGCAAAAGCGCGCAAAGGCACCTTGTCTTCAAGTCTTTCTTTTTGGTGTTTTTGTTATGCCTTTGAGCATGTATTTCGTGACCTCTAAATTGATTTTGGGCTATAGTGAAGATTCAACTAGGCAGGATGGCTCCGTTTTTTGCAGTGTCTGCAGCAGCAGTTGGGTCTGTCGGGAAGCTAGACTGCGCCAGCTTTTTGAGCTTTTTAGTGACGCCAAAAATGAGAGAAGAGGGTCGTAATGAACTACCGCTAGCTCGTGGAGATGGTTGACCCACAAACTGGGTTCATTACTTGTGCTCAAAAATGGGTATGCAGGCACAAGTGTATTGGCAATGGCTCCGACACACTCAGCTGAAAGCTCAGCGCCAGGGCAAGCCTTTGCTTTTGATTAACATCGACGAGACGCCCATTCCGTATCACATCAAGCCAGTCACAGGAGTCGTGAAGAAAGGATTTGGCGGTCAAATTGCAGTTTCAACAAACGAGAAGCGAGGAACGGCTTCGCTTTTGGCAACTGTCTGCAACCGGCCGTCTCTGCAGCATCTCATGCCTTGCTTTTTGCTCTGCAACACTCATCGTTTAGCGGTGCGAGTTCGCAATCGCCTGGTGTTGCCGGACAACTGGGTGTGGCGATGCAAGTCGTCGTGGAGTAATGGCGCCTCCATGATGCGCGTGGTGAGCCGCATCAATCGAGTGTGCGAGCCGTACAAAGAATTCTGCCAGCCAGTGCTGCTTCTGGACACAGCGAGTGCTCACATTGCGCCGGAGACTTTGCGCTTTGCGAGGGCATGTTGTTTGGAAGTCGTCATCGTTCCAGCTGGCGTGACGCCGCTGCTGCAGGTGGCAGACGTGTTTGTCTTTGCCTCTGTCAAGCAGCGTTTAAGTCAGGAGTTTCCGCGCATGAGAGTGACGCAGCAGCAAGTGACAGTGCGCGACTGGATCCAGCTTCTAGCCAGGGTCCCTGGCTGGCTTCAAGAAAAGTCCTGGACGGAGGCATTTGCAGCAACCACTGGCCTCGAAGGCGGGTGCTTGACCAATCACCTAGAAGCTCTGCAGATTTCTCACATTACCAGCAGAGCGGCCTACGTTCCAGCAGCTGTGTTTGGTTTGGCCACGGACGTGCTTTGGCATGCAACATTATCAAGCACTGTTTGGTCGGTATGTTGAGCACGCAGTCCGAGTTGAGTAGCCAGCAAATGCCGACAGGACGAAGTCCGGTCATTTCTTTTTTGCGCTGCCAACAGGCCGAGGTTTGCTCGTTTGTTTCGCTACTGCAACGCTACAGTATTCTGCGGTTCGCAGCGGCAAAGAAGCTTGGCACAGGTTTTGCGTGCACTTCACAGCAGCCTTTCCGCAGCCAGGCGTTGCGCGCAAGACATGCGGCAGCAGTGTTTGTGCAATTTTGGGGTCAAGAAGTTTCGGACGGATGGAGAGCAGTCTCTGCATGCTAGCTCTGTAGCCTGTAGTCCCATGTGCAGCAGACCGGCGCATCGAGCTCAGCAGCTCCGGGAAGTGTGCTCAAATTTGAAAAGGCAGCTGAGGGAAACCAGCAGCTCGACAGATGCGAGCCCCAGGAGCGACGCGGCGCGTCGCCGGAGCACTCCGCATCTTCGAAGGTGCATTCTGGCTTCGTTTGCCATGGGAGGCGTGGCGGCCGCAACCACTTGCGGCAGAAGACTCTGGACGCAGCGGTTTTGCAAGCAGTGGAAGTTCGTGCGTCGCAGAATCGGTCTGCGTCAGGTGGAGCTGACTTTGGCGCAAAAGCGCGCAAAGGCACCTTGTCTTCAAATCTTTCTTTTTGGTGTTTTTGTTATGCCTTTGAGCATGTATTTCGTGACCTCTAAATTGATTTTGGGCTATAGTGAAGATTCAACTAGGCAGGATGGCTCCGTTTTTTGCAGTGTCTGCAGCAGAGTTGGGTCTGTCGGGAAGCTAGACTGCGCCAGCTTTTTGAGCTTTTTAGTGACGCCAAAAATGAGAAAAGAGGGTCGTAATGAACTACCGAGCTCGTGGAGATGGTTGACCCACAAACTGGGTTCATTACTTGTGCTCAAAAATGGGTATGCAGGCACAAGTGTATTGGCAATGGCTCCGACACACAGCTGAAAGCTCAGCGCCGGGCAAGCCTTTGCTTTTGATTAACATCGACGAGACGCCCATTCCGTATCACATCAAGCCAGTCACAGGAGTCGTGAAGAAAGGATTTGGCGGTCAAATTGCAGTTTCAACAAACGAGAAGCGAGGAACGGCTTCGCTTTTGGCAACTGTCTGCAACCGGCCGTCTCTGCAGCATCTCATGCCTTGCTTTTTGCTCTGCAACACTCATCGTTTAGCGGTGCGAGTTCGCAATCGCCTGGTGTTGCCGGACAACTTTGTGGTGTGGCGATGCAAGTCGTCGTGGAGTAATGGCGCCTCCATGATGCGCGTGGTGAGCCGCATCAATCGAGTGTGCGAGCCGTACAAAGAATTCTGCCAGCCAGTGCTGCTTCTGGACACAGCGAGTGCTCACATTGCGCCGGAGACTTTGCGCTTTGCGAGGGCATGTTGTTTGGAAGTCGTCATCATTCCAGCTGGCATGACGCCGCTGCTGCAGGTGGCAGACGTGTTTGTCTTTGCCTCTGTCAAGCAGCGTTTAAGTCAGGAGTTTCAGCGCATGAGAGTGACGCAGCAGCAAGTGACAGTGCGCGACTGGATCCAGCTTCTAGCCAGGGTCCCTGGCTGGCTTCAAGAAAAGTCCTGGACGGAGGCATTTGCAGCAACCGCTGGCCTCGAAGGCGGGTGCTTGACCAATCACCTAGAAGCTCTGCAGATTTCTCACATTACCAGCAGAGCGCGGCCTACGTTCCAGCAGCTGTGTTTGGTTTGGCCACGGACGCGCTTTGGCATGCAACATTATCAAGCACTGTTTGGAGGTCGGTATGTTGAGCACGCAGTCTGAGTTGAGTAGCCAGCAAATGCCGACAGGACGAAGTCCGGTCATTTCTTTTTTGCGCTGCCAACAGGCCGAGGTTTGCTCGTTTGCTTCGCTACTGCAACGCTACTGTACTGCCCGAGGGCGCTTACACGGGCGCCCGGCTGGCCGCCTGGGTCAGCTCCAACTTTGCCACCGCACCTATAGCAAGACCACAAACAGCCGCTCAAAGCCCGCCCTTGCGCGCCACGCTCGTGGCCAGGTCCTTCTTGGGTGCCCCTGGCGTTGCGGTCCTCGGGCCGGTTCGTCCGGTCACGGCTTCCTTGGGCAGCTCCCGGTCCAGCGTGGCGAACTCGTTGCCCAGGTCTGTCGCCACAAAGTTCCCGTCGTCCCCCGTCAGCTCCCGCGCAGCGCGCTTGGTGGCCCGACCGTCTCGGCGTTCTTGTTCTGCAGAGGTTCCACGGCCTCGCGGGTGAAGACGTCATCGCCACCAGGCCATACTTCGTCTTCCCCGGGTGTTCTGGCTGAAGTCGATGAGGTTGGCCTGCAGCCGGTCGGTACAGCTTCCGCACGTTGAAGTCGTCGGCCAGGTTCCTCAGCGCCTCCATTAAAAAAAACACAACTTTTGTTGCCCCAAAAGGGGGCTTGCGCTAGCGTCCCTGGATGCAGGGAGGCCTGCGCACAGTTTTTTTCCTAGGCCGTGGTGGTCGGTTACCTTGCGGCCTTTTCCAAGGTGTGGATCTTGCTGGCGTCCAGGAGAATGCAGCAATGAGAGCTATGGCGGCCTTTCTGCAAGATACCCTTCCGGTTTCCTCGCCAGCGGGACAGCAAGTGGCACGTTTCTGCGGGGCTGGAGAATTCAAGCGCAGATCAGACTGACACGGCCTTCGACCTTCCGTCCATCGTGATGTACACTACGGGAGTTCTGCTCAATAAGATGAGGTACACGCGGGAGGGCAACTCCCCGGTGTTGGAGGCGGAATTGGTTGTCATGGGCAAACAGCAGTATGGCGCGATCTTGGAAGTGGTGCCTATGTCGGCCACTCGCAAATGCTTGTGAGGGTGGGCGGGCAACACTATGCAGACCCTGGGCAGAAAGAAAATGCTGGAGCGGTCCATGGGCCTCCGACGCAACTCGTGCTGGATGCATCCTAGCAATTGGCAGTTCACTTATCCCAGATTGCTCGGCTTGAGCCCACGCAGAGAGCGG